AGGGCCCCCAAAATGTAGGTCTGCCACTGGATTCATTATCTGGCATTCAAACAACTAATTGATTACCTGATTACATGGGGATACATTTGCATATTACCAAGAGAGTCCGAGTTGGAACAAACTGCATAGATATAAAAACATATGGCCATCCACAGGTTGAGAGATTTTGGCACCAGTAACAAGATATAATATTGGCCTCAGTATGATGACGTGTCTTACTGGAGTCCAGTATGAGAAGCTGACATTATGCACATCTGTAAATGGAACAAGAATCCCTGTGCGAGTCAGCTTTCATGTATCAGCTTTGTCTCCAATAACTTCAACAACATTCCTGCACCTTAAAACCATAATAAGTCTTTCCATCTTTGTCCACACAAGAGTCTTTCCGCTGTCATCATATATCAAAATAATATCCCACAGTTCTTTTCTTATTACCTATGTATTTGGTGATTCGCAACCAGTACCGTATCTTCTGTTCCCATTTCCTGTTGTATTTGGTGGTTTTCAACCCTGATTTAGCCATTTAGCCTATCTTTCTCTTGGATATGTTGCCCCCCCCCCATGTGAGAATCTTTTCCTGGTGGGTTTGTTGTGGGGCAGGAACATTCCATGACATGAGAAGTTTCTCCATTCTGCACAGTTCAGAGGCAAAAACTAGACATGGGGCAGACAACCCTTTGGTGCTTACAGGTCCTTCCCTAGCACTCCCTTCGCTGGGATTTGTGTCTTTAAAAAATACATATTATTGTCATCCAAGCCATTTTGGACATATGCCTGTGCAAGATCTCCGCCTCTCAGCTGTCTCAAACCTGGCTCTCGTTCCCCCCAACACAGGCATCTAATAGTTGAGACCATATGCAAGATTTCATCACTCCGATTCCTTGTTTTCAGAGATCGTCTGTTATTTGTCAGTATGCACTTCGCATCCATGAAAGCACTTTGCCATAACACTTATTTTTTGCTTGAGTTTTGGCGGGGAGGGGGCGGGGTATTATATGGATGAAACCCTATGCATTGTGTACAAAAATGCCTTCGATATTAAATGTCACTTCTGCATAAATTACCACAACAAACCTTATATAAGAGCAGAAGAAGAGCCCTGCGGGATCAGACCAAATGCCCATCAATCCTGCACCCTTTTCTCACACACAATGGGCAACAAGGCCATAAAAAGGACATGAGTGCCTGAAATTTGCTGTTGCCAGTTTCTTATATGTTCACTCAAATGTCTCATTGAGTTCAATGAGGCTTGTTCCTAGGTGAGTATAGTGGACGCTCGGGTTGCAAACGTGGTCCGTGCGAGAGGCACGTTTGCAACCTGCAGCGCCACGTCTGCGCACGTGCGGGTTGTGATTTGGCGCTTCTGCGCATGCACAAAGCACGATTTAGTGTTGCAGCGCATGCGTAAGAGCTGAAACCCGGAAGTAACCTGTTCCAGTACTTCTGGGTTCGGCATGGTGCGCAACCCGAAAACGTGCAACCTGAAGCGTCTGCAAACCGAGGTATGACTGTATAAGATTGTAACCTTCAAGCTGATAAATTTACCCCTTGCTGTGCTTACTGGTTAAAGAGTACTTGAAACAGTGAGTCCTAATCATTGGATCTTAGAGTTGGAAGAGACCCAGAGGATCATCTAGTCCAACCCTCTGCAATGCAGGAATCTCAGCTAAAGCAGCCATGACAGATGGCCATCCAGCCTCTGCTTAAAAACATCCAAGGAAGCAGGTTTGCGGTTTACTGTTTACAGGTTTACTCTTGCAATGTATTATTATGGAAGGTGGGGAACCAAGTGGAAGTGGATATATGGATTAATTAAGCCCAATGGATGAATTAAACCAAAAACAAAGGTGTGATTTTTTTTGGTATGTGGTGTAACTGATGTGCAGCTATGAGATGTACTGATGTGCGCACACACACACACACACACACATTGCATACTAATTTAGCTTCTGGACTGGGTAGTCACATCCACGTGGCTCTGGGGGCAGATTTACTGTTAATGAATAGTGAAGAGGAGGCTGGAACTTAAAGGTAAAGGTAAAGGGACCCCTGACAATTAGGTCCAGTCGTGGACGACTCTGAGGTTGTGGCGCTCATCTTGCTTTATTGGCCGAGGGAGCCGGCGTACAGCTTCCAGGACATGTGGCCAGCATGACTAAGCCGCTTCTTAGAGCAGCGCACGGAAACGCCGTTTACCTTCCCGCCAGAGCGGTACCTATTTAGCTACTTGCACTTTGATGTGCTTTCGAACTGCTAGGTTGGCAGGAGCAGGGACCGAGCAACGGGAGCTCAGCCCGTCGCGGGGATTTGAACCGCCGACGTTCTGATCGGCAAGCCCTAGGCTCTGTGGTTTAACCCACAGCACCACCCGCGTCAATGGAACAAATTAGAATAGTGAGAAATAATAATAATAATTCATGAGCATCACACTGACTAACCATTAGCACAATCTGAAAAATGCGGTGCATTTTGATAACTAGCGTTCTCGAAGCTACCAGCATGAGTTTGACCAAACTGCGGGAGGCAGTGGAAGACAGGAGTGCCTGGCGTGCTCTCGTCCATGGGGTCATGAAGAGTTGGACACGACTAAACAACAACAACAAACCTTAATTTCCACAAGGACTAGAAACGCGTTCTGTTTTAGAATAAGAACATTGCAAAGGTTTGACATGGGCCCCATGCTTTGCCTTAGAACAGTAGTTCCCAACTGGTGGTCCGCAGACCCCCAGGGGGTCCACATTAAACCACCCAGGGGCTCCATGGCACCATTCACATAACAAAAAACTTGTTGTTTAGTCGTTTAGTCATGTCCGACTCTTCGTGACCCCATGGACCATAGCACTCCAGGCACTCCTGTCTTCCACTGCCTCCCGCAGTTTGGTCAGACTCATGCTGGTAGCTTCGAGAACACTGTCCAACCATCTCATCCTCTGTCCTCCCCTTCTTCTTGTGCCCTCCATCTTTCCCAACATCAGGGTCTTTTCCAGGGAGTCTTCTCTTCTCATGAGGTGGCCAAAGTACTGGACCCTCAGCTTCAAGATCTGTCCTTCCAGTGAGCACTCAGGGCTGATTTCCTTAAGAATGGATACGTTTGATCTTCTTGCAGTCCATGGGACTCTCAAGAGTCTCCTCCAGCACCATAATTCAAAAAACTACCATAGATATTTCACAATTTTCAAAAGTAGGGAGCCCATGGCTTGGCTTTTGAAAAACAGGGAGTCCACATTACTCAGCTAGTTGGGAACCACTTTGATAAACTTGGAGCTGTGCAATGGGATGGTAGATTTGCTGATTTTCTGTCCGAATAACATGAATGGGGTTACACAGGAGAAAGTGGTTTGAAGATTGTGGCCAGCTTGAGGAAATGGGAGCGCCTTCATTAGCATAGGCACCAGACCTATGCTTATGAAGTTTATGATGTTGTTGAAGAAGATGACTGCTGCATCCAGCATTTTTTTAAATATAGTTTGGATCAGGCTTATAGGTTCAAATGTACCATTAAATTCAGCATAATAGATTGCAGGACTTGGTTTCTTTTTTTCAGCAATGTCCTGTACATGCTTCAGAGAACTGCGCTGTCAGCAGGATATAAGCTGGGCATGTATCCATGTTTTCCTTACTTTTAAAAGAGTCATTGACCTTACAAAGGCCTGTATCAAAATGCAAAGAACAAAAACGAGACCAGACGCTGCAGTATTTGGTGGAACTTCTTTCATCGTGCAGGAAAAAAAACCCAACAGGGCCGTACATCTCTCTGCATTCATCAGAACAGTGATTGTGTATTTTGTGAATGTTCAGCAATTGGCTTTAATTAAAAAGTGCACGAGAAGGAATAAACTAGCCAAGCAGGCTGGTGGCAAGAACAACACAAAATACAAGGAGTGGGACGGGGCGGATTGGATCTACCTCTTTTCCCTTTGATTCCCTAGTATTTCTGCGGCATACCTCGGATACAAACAGGGTTTCCCAGGGGGTGGGGTATATCACATTGGGTAAAACCGGTGAAGTGTTTTAAGAGTGACAAAAGAGGTTTAATTGTTGCTGTCCTCTAAAAACCCCAGCATTTTCGATTCGTTTTGCCGGGCAAACTCTGAAGAAAAACACCATAGTCTCCAACTGCCCTGAAAATGATGGTACTGCCACGGAAACCCTTAAGCCATCATGGCTTCTCACTTTGTAACACAGAGTCCCGAATTCCCTGGCGCTGAGGTGGTGACCTAGCAGGAGAAAGTGGTTTTGCTGGAGGTGGATCTGGGCATCTGCATCGGGAGAAGAAGCTGCGCCTCAAGCCCAGACCAGCACCCCTTTTTTCATCTGAGGAATGTTGGAGGACACAAAAAGTTCTTCAAGCTTTCCTCATAGAGTTTTTCTGGACTGTTGGACTGATGGGAGCTGGAGTTCAATACCATCTGAAGGGCACCATGTTGATGCCTATCTCTGACGTCATATTGTTGACTGACCTCAAATCAGACCTGGCTCCAGAATTAGGCACTTGCCAAGGCCCAACCCCCTGGAAAGGGCCCACTGCTTAGCTTTGCTCCTCGCTGTTGTTGCCTGTTCATCCGCTGTCTCCGAGTGAGCAACTAGGGAGAGGAGCAAGAGCAGTAACTTCTGCCACCTTGCCACTACCCTCTGGTAGGTGTTGGAGATTGGGCCTAGAGGAACTTGGTGGGTGGGTTGTAGCAATGATGGCTAGGAGGTGCTGAAAAAACTGAGAACTGGAAGTTGAAAAATATCTTCATGTATGTGACAATGGCGGCGAGAGTCTTAATAGCACAAGGATGGAAGAATGAGGAAACCCCGACTAAACAACTATGGCAAGAGAAACTGATGGACTATGCAGAACTGGCAAAATTGACACATAAACTACGGGACAAGGATAACTTTGACTTCAAAGATGAATGGGAACCTTTTACAAAGTATTTAAAGAAGCCACAAAGTGAACTGGACTCCTTGGCAGGCTTTGAATAAACTTTCATAAACTTTTTATTGATAATAACCAGTCGGATAAATTAAGGATTTATACAATTTTGTAACATGCAGAGAATAGCATTTATAGAGAAACCAAAGATTGGAACTGAGGGAAGTCAGGGGGGAGGGGGGTTGTTTTATGGAGGGAGGGGGGGAAATGGGGGGAATGAGGGGGTTGAGGATGAGTTTTAAGATAATATGTTGTGTTTAAATTCCTAATAAAAAATATTTAAAAAGAAAAAAACGGAAAAAAACTGAGAACCATCATACAAAAATCCTGGAACCAGCAGAGTTCATTGTGAAGTCATTGTGAAGATGAAAATTAAGACTGTCCAACCATTTGCATGTTACCCCACCACACGTATCATGCATTTTAACATGTCTAGGCTCGTTCTTCCCCCTTGGGCTATGAGTCATTAGGATTATGAAACATAGAGCATTTAGACCTGGCTCTCAGTCATAGCTGATGCTGATGCTGAAATCGGAGGCCATTTTCAGTTTGACCACACCAGTGAAATTGTTGCTCATCCTTTGCTTCTCCCTCTCTCCCTGTGGGCCCAATCAAAATCCATGCTCTCTTGCATTGAGCATCCACGCACACTTGTGTAGCGCCACTCATGGCCCCAATGGGTTTTGCGTGGATAGTGTCATTATGTAGTTTAGTCACTAGATGGCACTGGACTGAGTTGCATTGAGTTGGAATCATTTAGCTTGTCTATGTTGTTCTCAGTTGGGTAGAGCTCCCTTTTAAAAACTATGTTCTCTCTCTCTCAGCAGGCAGCTCAGCACATCAGTGGACAGGCCCCCAATCCTCCTTTCAGCTCATTTTGTGGGTTCCTTCGCCTTCCTTCTGCAACCTGCCTATCTTCTTTTCTCAGTTATAACAACATAAGACTGGTCTTTGTTGTATGATACAACAGCATACCCTCCAACATTTCTCTGATGAAAATAGGGATGTCCCATTCCATAATTGAAATTTTACTATTTATACCCCACACATCTTACTGGGTTGCCCTAGCCACTCTGGGTAATTTCCAACATATACAAATACATAATAATACATTAAACATTAAAAAACTTCCCTATGCAGGATTGCCTTCAGACAACTCGGGGGTCGGATAACTCCATACCCTCCAACGTTTCTCCAATGAAAATAGGGACATCCTAAGGAAAAGTGGGACATTCCAGGATCAAATAAAAAAACTGGTATGGCTTCTCTAAATCAGGGACGTCCCTGGAAAATAGAGACACTTTGAGGGTCTGACTACAGTTCCCAGGATTCCAGTGGAGGCGGGTTCATTAAAGCAAAGGGGCACAGCCCCACCAATCTCAGTCTGCCTTCTTACTTACCACCAATCAGGGGGAAGGTCTGCCTGTGATTGGCTACTGGTGACCTTATTGGATTCTGCCCTACCAGTCATAATAGGCACCAGCATCACTGCAGGGGTCTATAATATAATTGTGCCGTTTATTATAATTGATATTTGTTAGCTGTCTTGGGGGGCCTTTGTGAAGCTGAAAGGCTGGGATACAAACATTTTGATAAATGATGCTGCTGTAGTTATTATGAGCTTCTTGCTTTTCAGTTTTAAAAGCCCCATAGCATGTTATACTTAAGAACTCACTGAGTTTGTGGCTACTGTTCTTGAATATGTATATCCAAAGAGTGGGTCTTCAAATTTTCACCCCACCCACCCACAAAAATCTTATTGTTTCTGCCCTTTGCCCAAACCAGAAATTGTTCCCTCAATAGCCTATCAGATGCTTCTCGATAACTCATAAGCAAGTCACAACGCTGAAGTCACAGGACACTTAAGTTGTGTTTCAGAGTTGTTGTTTTTATTTGGGAGTCCAGGTTGTCTTTAAAGATATGTAGAGAACAGGGCCTCTCTCTCCTCTCTCAGTTCCTCCTCTCAGTTCCTTCAACACACACACACACACAGAGAGAGAGAGAGAGAGAGAGAGAGAGAGAGAGAGAGATTCAGGATTAAGGCTTGTGGGAAATGATAAATCCTTTAGGCATAAATCTTCACTCTAGCTTGAGTTGGTTGAGAAAATCAAGGGTGATTTATTGGGGATTAGCAGATCAGAATTGAGGAATGTAAAGAGGTTTATACTAGTGAACCTCACAGTAAATGTGGTGGAGACTTGTGGTTAATTAATTACATGCACAGAAGGAAAAAGAGGAGGGCGAGGGACAGAGAAACTTGTCTGGCCTGTTTGTTTGTTTGTTTGTTTGTTTGTTTGTTTGTGCAGGGATGGCCTGAGGCATTTTGCTGCCTGAGGTTAAGTAGCAAGCGGTGCCAGCACCACCCCACCACCACCCGTCAAACACCCAAGTAGATAGTACCCAAGCCCGATCAAGTTATTTTGGCACCTGAGGCAGAAATATCGCACCGCAAGCACCTCTTCCTGTCCTTGACAATTCACTGAGTGTTCACAAGACCCCACATCAGCTGCGGTGGTTGCATCCCTTGGTCAAAATGGGAGGGCCAGCCCACACCACATGTTTTGCATTTAAAATGTCTCAGGTTCAATTGCTGGCATTTCTAGATTTTTTAATAAAAAGATCAGGTACCATCTAATGGGAAAGACAGCCAAGAGAGTCAATGCCAGTCAGAGTGGACAAAACATAGCTAGATGTACTATCAGTCTCACAAGATAAAAGGCAGCTTCCTTTGGTCCTCAGTCAGCAGCAAGTATGTTTACAGTTCAAAGGAGATTCCCAGCACACAAAACTCAACTGATGTAGTAGTAGTAGTAATAGTAGTAGTAATAATTACATTTATTATTAGAGCCAAATTCATATCCCGCCTTTCAGCCGCCACAGTGGTTAACAACAATATATAATAAGGAGTGTCTCCACTCCCATCGTTCTGCCTGGACGCTGAGGTCCAGCACCGAGGGCCTTCTGGCGGTTCTCTCACTGCGAGAAGCCAAGTTACAGGGGACCAGGCAGAGGGCCTTCTCGGTAGTGGCACCCGCCCTGTGGAACGCCCTCCCACCAGATGTCAAAGAGAACAACTACCAGACTTTTAGAAGACATCTGAAGGCAGCCCTGTTTTGGGAAGCTTTTAATGTTTGATGTATTAAAGTATTTTAATATTTTGTTGGAAGCCGCCCAGAGTGGCTGGGGAAGCCCAGCCAGATGGGCGGGGTATAAATAATAAATTATTATTATTATTATTATTATTAAGCAGGAGAAAGCAAATAATATTGATTTGCAAAGGCATTACAAAAGACTCCAGCCTGGTCCATACCATTCCTGGGCAAATAAACCTCTTCACATGATGGTGGAATGGTCCCAGTGGAGGGCTGAAACCATTAGAGTGAATGGGGCACCGCTCCACCAGCTTTACTCTGCCTTCAGCATGCAAGCACCTGCCTGCCTCCCTCCTTATGTCCGGTCCAGGGATGATCTTGGCTGTGGTGTAGTGTGGTGTAGTGGTTAAGAGCGGTAGTCTCGTAATCTGGGGAACCGGGTTCGCGTCTCCGCTCCTCCACATGCAGCTGCTGGGTGACCTTGGGCTAGTCACACTTCTTTGAAGTCTCTCAGCCCCACTCACCTCACAGAGTGTTTGTTGTGGGGGAGGAAGGGAAAGGAGAATGTTAGCTGCTTTGAGACTCCTTAAAGGGAGTGAAAGGCGGGATATCAAATCCAAACTCCTCCTCCTCCTCCTCCTCTTCTTCTTCTTCTTCTTCTTCTTCTTCTTCTTCTTCTTCTTCTTCTTCTTCTGTTGGCTTCCTCCTCCTCCTTAGTCTCAGTGTTGCCCTTGTAGAACTCAGCTGGGAGGAAGATGGGGACAAAGCTGGAATTAGCTGCCCCCGCCTGTCATCCTTCCACCCCACCAATGGGCACCAGCCACCACCGAACAGGATGCATCAAGGGTGGCCAGCCACTTAACACATTACTAGAAAAAAATGGCAAAAGACAACGAAGACTTACATTAAAATTTCATATTATAATTTACACAGATAGATGCAGATTTTGAAACCAGAGCTCCCATTTAAATAGAGCACATCTCACCAGTTTGGAGTTGGTATGCTGTGACTAGGTGGAAAGAACAGATCAAAACAGTTAAAATAAAAACAGCAAGCATTTAAACCAGGGGTCAGCAAACTTTTTCAGCAGGGGGCCGGTGCACTGTCCCTCAGACCTTGTGGGGGACTGGACTATATATTTGGGGGGGGGGGAATGAACGAATTCCTATGCCCTACAAATAACCCAGAGATGCATTTTAAATAAAAGGAAGCATTCCACTCATGTGCTGATTCCCGGACCGTCCGCAGGCTGGATTTAGAAGGCAATTGGGCCGGATCCAGCCCCTGGGCCTTAGTTTGCCTACCTATGATTTAAACCATGGGCAGCCAAAATGGCGTCCTCTAGATGTCCCGCACTCCCAACTCCCATCATCTCCAATCCATACATTTCATTCCCCTCACAGAATGCACAGCTGGGGCAGCCTGTGAATAAACTGCCATTTGGCTGACACATCTGTATATCAAAACCTCTGCCTTTTGAAAAGGACAACCACCACACAAAATATTTTGTTTTAAAAGAGAAACAAGAAGGTTTCCAATTTTCACAGGCCTCAAACAAAAGTGAGCCAGTTTGTGGTCCTGAGGGCAGCACAACAGCCTTGTGGGGGCTTATAAAGGAAATGCAGCTGGTGTTGTGAGCCAGCTGTACGGGCCGCCCAGTCCTGTAGGAATGGGGGAAACAAAACAAAACAGGAACAGGAACCGTTAGCTCATCATAATTCATAAATTCTTCCAAGCATCATATATACCTGTCTCTGGGGGGGATGAAAATAAAGAAGATTGCAGCTCTGTTGTTCTCTAACAACAACAACACAACACAACACAACACACACACACAAAAGAATACCAGTCTGTTGTTTCTGTGGTGAACAGCTGGATGAGTACATCAGGATCTTAAAGATCCCCTGACAGCAGGATAGGTAAAGTTGCCATATCTTAGGCTTCGGCCCTGAGACTATTTTGGGGGCAACCAGTTGAATGTTAATGCTAATGGTCACTCTCATTCACTTAGGTGCTTCTAAGATGGCTGCTTTGAGTTGACATGGGTGGAGGCTGGTCTGGTATGGCAAATGAGGGCCTGTCCCACCAGCCTAGGTCGGTTGGTAGGCAGCCCCACCTGCTTGCCTTCCTGCCCGCAACTGGTCCAGTGCAGACTCCCACCTAGGCATTCATCAAACCCAGACCTCCTCAGCTTCAGCAAAGTTCTTTCAGAGGCTGTGCCCTTGGGGTAACCATCTCCAGCTTCCACAACTTTTAGGCAGACATTTAATTTCTCATCTTAGAAATTAAGGGCTTTTTAAATACCTCTCAACTGCCTCGATTTGAGCAGGACACCCCAGAATTACAGAAGCCATCCCGGCTTCTGGTTAGATCCTGGAATTTCCCATTTTTTGGTTCGGCGTTCTGGTGCAAGTCAACTGGCTCACGTCAGAGTGCCAGACCATAAAAATACGCTCGTTTTTCAGTCTTGCACTTTTGCACGAAACAGCTGACTCACCCCAGAGCCTAGGATGGAAAAATGAGCGTCCCAATTTTGATCAGTGGGATATTGGAGGGTATGTTTTTGGGGATGAAGGTGGGAACCTGTCCTCCTTCCTGCACCAACGCTTTGAGGAACTGAGACCTTAAAATAACAACTTTTTTCTTCCCTCAAATTTCTCTTCTGCTGTTTCTTCTTCTGCTCTGCCTTTGGATATCTCTGGTTCAATTCGAGTGCTTTGCTCTCAAAAGACTAATGCTAATTATTGTCAATTAAGGGCCTCGTGACTTTTGAAAAGCAGGAGGCTCCAAGGTTAATCCTCGTCATCCTACCACCAGGGAGCAAGAGTTCAAGGCTATTGTTTTTCCAGGCTGACAATTGCAGACTTATGGACTGCCCACCACTGGGAGGAAGTCAATGATGGCTTAACCTTCATTTGGTGTTTTTCCAGCATCTGGGGTGGCATGTAATTGCATCCTGACAAAATATTCCTTGGTTTGTCTAGAAATGGGTCCTGCAGAACATGGCAGGTAGAGAACAGCTCACCCCTCTTCTGTTCTGCAACTAAAAGTGTCAGTGTGCAGGCCAAAAGTCGTTCTTAGAGCAAGTCTTGGTGACTGCTAACACAGAGGTGGGTAATGATTTTAAAGTAAGATAGCGGAGACCAGGGCCATCTTAAGCATATCCGGCGCCGTGGTGCAAAGATCCCTCCAGCGCCCCATCCCCAATTTCCCAGAGTTGTTGACCTTTTCCCAAGCCTCTGTGGGGATAACTCTCCTCCCGCAGAGGCTTGGGAAGGAAGCTGCATGTCCGCCAGCCATATAGTTAGCAGGGCACAGCTTCCATCCTAAGCCTCTGCAGGGATTGCTCTCCTCTCGCGGAGGCTTGAGAGGCAAGCTGCACGCCCGCCAGCCATATGGTTGATGGGGCGCAGCTGACGGGTGTGCAGGAGGGACAGGGGAGGCCATCGGCAAAGCCGCACAGCTCCCCCACTTGCTGGGGCACCCCTGAGAGGCTGGCGCCCTGGCGCAACGCGCCAGTAAGCCTAATGGGAAAGACGGCTCTGGCAGAGACACATTCAAAGGAAGTTCAATTACAGTTAGCAGATTTTGTGTACAAAGAAATTCATAATG